CCCACCTGTAGTTTCCTTCAAAAAAGGTTTGCTACGCTTCAACGCACTGAGGTTCTCCAAATTCATCTCCGAGATGTTCACAGGCTGCGAAAACACCTGGCTTGTAGAGCAGCATAACCCTAAATTAGGGTCCCTTTTAGGGTCCTTTTTAGAAGGGTGCCGTACTATATTTTGGGACCGAGAAAAGACCCTAATTTAGAGAACTCCATGTACCGCAAGGGTCCATGTATCCGTATGAGTATACTTTGACCCTCAAGTACCTAAATACGGACTACATTAAAATCTAAGTATCTACTATTTGGGTACATGGACCCTTAGGGTAAAGTAGAGGCCTGATGACGTGTGGGCTTGAATAATGTTGTTAGTATCTTGTCGGATAACGAATTTTCCCACATCCTGCGCCCGGAGCAGTACGCCAGAATCCCTAAACCACTTAGGGATGAATGCGTTTCGTTGTTTCCAGCAAAATTTCTTAGCGTGACCTTCTTCAGGGGAAGGATTGACCCACGTAATATAGAAGCCTGAATAATTAACCTACATTATTCCTCAGGGTTCCTTATTATAAGTATAGTATACTGGGCCCCAAACCCCAATTCTAATTGCTCAGGCCCCTGCATTACCGTCCTCTCGGACTCTTGGGGCAGAGCAGCTTTTCGGGGTACACTGCACTAGAACTCTAGGTTGCAGGGGGGGCGGTCAGGAAAACTACTAGGCAATTCAGACCTGAATTATGTTCCTTGGGAAAATCACCAGCTACAACGCACTGCGCTGGAGTCTCTAGCGGACTCACGTCGGGGTCCAAGTGCCGAAAAGTCATATACTTGCCCAAATAGTAACCCACATAACTACTATCCGAAAACTAAGAACCTAATTTCTGGGTCCTTTGGACCCTTAGGGGTAATAAAGGGTTCCCTTGCAGCAGTAACCCTATTCCCTAAACCCTAAGCCCTGGGTTTAGGGTTTGCCCAGGGCTCTGTCAAGCGTTCTGGAACGGCACCGGGAGAGTCTCAAATCCTGTTAGGGTTTAGGGTGTAGGGTTTAGGGTGTAGGGTTTAGGGTTTAGGGTCTAGGGTTTAGGGTTTAGGGTCTAGGATTTAGGGTTTAGATGCTGAAGGCCCTGAATCCAAAATCCTAGTCTTGTCTTTGTACCTCTGATGTATCATGTCTTGCACTACACACCGGGGCTGTCTGAGGCATCTAAGCAAGTGCATAAGGTTGATGGCATCCTGGGGCAAGGCCGTCATGTAATATAGAAGCCTAAATTATTACCAATAGTATTCTGAGGACTTCAAAGTATAAACAAACTATCAAGAAGCCCCAAAACCCCATTCTAAATTATAACCCTGAAGCCTTTAAGCCCTAAGCCCTAAACACTAAACCCTAAACCCTAAACCCTAAACTCTATTGAACTTCTTAAGGTTCTACAATTTGTGACAAAACCCTAAACACTAAACTCTATTCTACTTCTTAAGGTTCTACAATTTGTGACTAAACCCTAAACCCTAAACTCTATTCTATTACTTAAGGTTCTACATTAGTATGACTAACACCCGAAGCCCTCAACTGTGAAGAGCTCTGGAGCCCGGAGATTCCAACAAAGCCTTTAATCGAGGAGAAACAACGCTTGGGGTAGTTCTCTAAATTAGGGTCCCTTTTTGGGTCTAGGGTTTAGGGTTTAGGGTTATGGGTAGTTCTCTAAATTAGGGTCCCTTTTAGGGTTTAGGGTTCAGGGTTTAGGCTTTTGGGTAGTTCTCTAAAATCAGGGTCCCTTTTTGGGGGCCCATTATAGTGCGGCACCCTTATAAGAAGGACCCCCAACTGGACCCTAATTTAGAGAACTACCCATATAAGAGCCCTGGTACTTACCTAAACCCTAAACCCTAAACCCTGATTGAGGAATATAATACAAGAGCTTGGACAAATTACCTATACTATTGTTGCAGGGGGGTTCGCTATTGTAACTGAGGAATCTGATATAAGCGCCTTGATAATTACAAGTTTTTTTTTTCGGAGGGGGGGGGGGCGGTTCCTTATGATAACTGGAGAATATACTATAAGAGCCTTAACCATTAACTATACTATGTTGGGTGGTCTCTTATTATGATTGTCCCAGAGGCTCCATATATGGTACCTTTTTGGAATTAGGTCTCTAAAACCTTAATGAGGATGGTCTTTTGGGACCTAATTCCATAGTGGTGGTATATGATTCGTTTCTAAATTAGGGTTTCTTTTTAGTCACAAATTTAGTACGGCCAAATTTAGAGAACCACTCATATGTGGAGCGTCTGGGTTATGAATCCCTGAAGAGTGCCTTGGTAGCTGCAGGAAGCCGAGGAGATTATCAAGCAAAAGGCCCTTGAGAGGAAGTGACTCAAAGCCTTTGTAGTGCACTGCAGAGTTTGTGTGAGCATTGTGTTCTGCGTTGTTGTTGGTTGTGCTTGTTTTCTGCATTTTTTCGTTCTTAAGTTTTTAGGGCCTTAGGCTCGGGGCTTGGGCCATGCCGTGTCAATGCTGTTCTACAGCGAGGCTTCCGTTTTTCTATCAGGGAGCATCCTAAAGAGAACGACTCCAAATCTAGAAAACCCCATGCGCATTCTTTCTCGCATACATAGTCTCACTGCTCCTTCGTCAAACGGCGAGTTCGGGGCCTCGGATGAGATGACAAGTAGCGGAGGAAGCTGATCAAGAACCCCACGGTGCTTATTGGAGCTTATGGGATCTGAATATGATTGCCGTTCTAACGGGGGAATCAGCAACCTTGGGTTTCTTCCTCAGTTTTTACCTGAACCCTGGGAAAAGGACGATCCTCAGGACAAGCTGCGAGAGTTTCTGCCCTGCCTCAGCACAGGTGGAAAGATCTATCGCTGGTAGACGATGGCAACGCATGTGACCTGCTGCCTGCTTGACCAGACCTTCTGCAGCATTTTCGGTTGTCAATAAACTGTTTGCGAAACGCCTCCGACACAGAGCCATGAGCACCCCCCAACTTCCCCAACCCTAAACACGAAGCCTCCACCCTCAAACACGCACCCTAGTAGCATTTTAGGCTTATAGGTACCTTAATGGGGTTATAAGTAATTATATGTATAGTTACCTTATTTGTAATCCTAGTTACTAAGTCCCATGATCCTTTAAGTAGCATCTAAACGCGCATCTGTGAAGCGCAGCTTGCTCCTGTTTTTTTGGCAATCGGCGGCTCATGGCGAGCTCGGCACTTGACGGCGGATCGGGTCGGGGAGAGACAATAATCCCTACCTTACCCCAAAGAACCTACCTTTTTAAGGACTTATATAAAGAAGTCATAGTAAGGAGCCCTAAAAAGGGTTCTTCAGGGTCCAGGTAAACCCTAAACCCCTAAACCCTGAACCCTAAACCCTGAGCCTCAAACCTCTAGACTGCAAGCTCTACGCTTCGATTGCACACCCTTTCGGAGTGGCCTTGAGCCCCGGGCGCACAGAGAAAGGCCAGCGCACTTAGAAACACCCCGAAGCTTGACCCCAAACCCTAAACCCAACACCGTAAGTATCCAGGTCTTCGAAGTTTGTTTAGGTGCCAGTCCCCCGAAACTCCATAGTACAACAGCATCTTCTCGTCGGATGATTCGTGGAGCCTAGGGAGCTATGGGCCCTAACCCCTTAACCCCTGAACTTGCGGGACGTTTCAGAGCTTCCCCGGCCACAAACGACCACTCTTCTGAGCTTCCTAGGGTTTAGGGCTTCGGGGGTCCTAGGATTTAGTGTTTTAGGGTTTAGAGTTTAGGTAGGGGTTCTTGGGATTCTAATGCATAATACAGAGGCCTTTGTGCTTGGAATAAGGTCTCGACGTATCTTCTCGTGTAGTTCTATAACTAACAACTACAGCGGAGAATTTGTGTTTCTTATCATTTGTTCAGAGCCTTTTGCACTATCTAGGAGAATCTTCAGTGCCTTTCTTTGCACCTCAAGGTGGCCCTTGCCTGGAGAGACGAGCTTACCCAATGCCGCAGACTTGGATTCCAGCGTAGCACCCTTTTGCCTTTTCATACTGGGGTCTCCTTCATGAACATGCCTGAAAAATTTAGGTCGGGGTCTCCTTCTCAAACGTCACAAACGGGGATTATGGAGGGCTTGCCGCGACTGCGGAATCTAGAGATTGACATGTAACATGACATTATTGCACAGGTTTGCTTTGATAGCAGCAGAGCCGCAGCAAGTCATCGGGGCGACCTGTACTGCAGCCAGCCTGCTTGGTCGAGTAGCGGTACTTGCAAGAAGATCATGCAACGACTCTCGCTCGGCAACCTCTTAGCTTTGCTGGGTCTTATCCCCTAAACCCTTATAAACTCTAAACCCTAAACCCTAAACCCTAAACTCTAAACCCTAGACCGTATTATCTGAGGCAGCTCTCGGAACGAAGCACTTGATTGACGCGCCTGCGATCCGGAACTGACACCGTCTCGAAGTGTTTGGCACAAAAGAACAGGGCCACCGTCTACAGCTTTCTTCGTGTGTGCAATCCGGGCCACGCCATGGCGATGATGGCAAGCATGGAAGATGAGCTCAGGTGCCCTGTCACGTTAGAGGTTTTGCAGGACCCGGTGATGTGCATGGCGTGCCAGCAATCATTCTCTCGGCACGCCGTGCGGCTTGAAAGGAGCTGCCCTTGTTGTCGTGCGGAGCCTTTGGAGATTGCTCCAAACCGTTTGGCCGCCAGGCTCCTCGCCCGCGAGGAACAGGCCAGAGCCCTGCAGCAAGGCTATGCCCAACGACGTGATGGGATGCAGTTTGCCTATACCAGGCCGTTCACGATCTTCGTCACTGGGATGTTTGGTGCAGGCAAGAGCACCTTCATCAACCTGATGGTAGACCCGACTGGTGACACTGACGTGGCTGTCGAGGACCAAACGGCAGAGGGAGTCACCCAAACTGTCCACGAAGCTTTCAATGGACATATTGAGCATCGTGGCTCAACCGTCAATGCCATTTTTGTGGACACTCCCGGGTTCGGAGATCCAGATCGGCCGGACGCAGAAACTTTGAAACAGCTGTCCGAAGCCACCGTCCAGATGGCTGCTGGCATGGACTCGATCGTTCACGTCGTGAAGATGGGGCGCATGCAAGAAGCAGACCGACAACTGCCTCAGCTTCTGCTGGCAGGCCTTGCGCCTGATGCAGAAACTCGCGCCGAGCTGGTCAAGCGCTGGATTTTTGTCGTGACACATGCTGACTCTGGCCGACGTCCGTGCGACGCTGCTACACTGGAGAGGTTCAAAGGCAAGATGGACAGCTTCTTCCCGCCAGAGCTACATGATGCCGTCAACCGAACGGAACGATATTTGTGGAGCACGGGCGGGCAGGTTCGCCCTACGGAGATGCTGCAGCCAATCGCAACAAGATTTTGGATCACGTGGTGAGTGTGCGCGAGGTGTACCACTCTGTGTTCAGGTCCGTCCCTCTCCAGCAGATGATGACGGGGGGCTTCCGCAACGCGATGAGCAAGTGGAAAGAGCTCATGCCACATCATCTTGGTCGCGTCCCAGCCGAGGAGGCCGCATCGTTGCTGCAGTTCTTCAAGTGCGTGCTCCACTTTGGGAAGTTCATCGAAATGTCACCCGCGACTTCCAGCAGCTCGTTCCGTGACGACTGGAATGCTTTGAACCTTGCGATCCGTGACCAGGTGGCTGTCGAGATTGCTCGATCGGTGATGGATGAAGTCACTGAGGCTGCCCGCAAGTCTTGGCAGGAGTTTCTTGCTGACTCAGCAAGTTCCATTCAATCCTTCATGTCACGTTGTTGTGTACAATGAGGAGTAGAGTCTCGTCGGTTTAAGGGCATGGAGTGCCCGAGGTTCTGTGGACCCTATATGATCTTTCAAGCTCGCTAGTGGCGTTTGCGCGAGACGGCTAGTCAGCTAGCTCAAAATGATCGAGTGTTTTGCTCAGAAGGTTGCGATCTACCTGGGTAGTTGTCAAAATTATGGTCCATTGTGGGGTACCCTAAATAATAGGTGCCGTATTATAATAAGGACCCAAAAAGGGACCACAATTTTGACAACCACCCACCTTGGGATCCCAGATCAGAGCTGCAGCCAGCTGTTTTGTGTTTCCTCCTGCAGGTCATACGGCGATGGTATTTGAGATGCAGTTCACGATTCTTTGCAGACGTCCTATGGAACGAATGGTCCCATCTGTCGACGAGAGCCCAGTAGCCTCAGTAACTCTAAAACATGGTATGATATCAAGTTTCCTGTACATATTAAATTATTGAGATATGGCATAGTCGATTACGTGAGGGGTACAGGGCTGTCTGTGTCATGGATTTTCCCTTAGCTCTCAGACTCTCTCAGCTGTTTGTGGAAGTGCAACAGGCTGGATTAAAGTGTGGACACGTCACCAAAAATTGCGAAGCGAGCTGGAGTGTGTTTGAGCGATACTTGGGCAAATTGTGAAGGCGTGTGAAGGCACCCTGCACCCATGGCAGCTCTAACCCAGTAGACTTATTCCTTTTCATCGTCATCGTCATCAGCCTCGCCACAGGCCACACTCCTCCGATTCTTTGCGGTGACTTCCAACAGGGTTTCGTTTTTCGATAATCAGGACAAACTGCCAGAGTCCCTGCTCTCCTGTCTCACCACTGATAGAACCATGCCTCCTGGTAGAAGATCGAGGATTTTCGCATGTATGTATTACGTACTACTGTTCAACATATTTATATAGATATGAACATACGTACAAATGTGAATATATATATATATATACATGTGTACATATATATATATATATGTATATGTATGTATGTATGTATGTATGTATGCATGCATGTATGTATGTATGTATGTATGTATGTATGTATGTATGTGCACATGTAAGTAAGTAAGTATGCGTGCATGAAGGTATGTATGTATGTGTGTATGTATGTATGTATGTATGTATGTATGTATGTATGTATGTATGTATGTGTATGTGTATATGAATGTGACTCTGTCTGTGTTTGTGTCCGTGTCCGTGTCCGTGTCCGTGTCCGTGTCCGTGTCCGTGTCTGTGTCTGTGTCTGTGTCTGTGTCTGTGTCTGTATGTGTATGTGAAGGTGTATGTGTATGCATATGTGTATGTGTACGTGTATATATGTCTGTGTGTGTGTGTATATGTAGGTATGTATGTATGTATGCATGTATGTATGTATTTGTGTATGTAGGGGTATGTGTACACATGTATAAGTATATTAATATATACACTTGTAATATAGACAGATAGGTAGATAGGCAGATAGATGGATAGATAGATAAATTGTTAAATAGATAGATAGATAGATAGATAGATAGATAGATAGATGGACAGATAGATAGACAGACAGATAGATAGATAGATCGATAGACAGATAGATTGATAGATCGATAGATAAGTAGATACGTAGATAGGTAGACAGGTAGATAGGTGGATAGCTAGTTCGAGTATAGACAGGTCTAACAGGCGGTTGTGAAGACAGGACGTGGATTGAATCGGGGTCATATTGTTTCCCTGTGTTCTTTTCCTAACGAAGCAAAGCCATGTCTTTAATTCGCAAAAACATTGACCGCAGAGTGGGAGCAGAGGGGCGGGAGGAGGGGCATCTCATGATCAGACCGGAGATCCTTTCTTCGACGGGCCCACCGTCTACCACAGTGATCGAAATTATTATGAACAGTAGTCCTACGGGTTCCTTGATATACGAGTTACGTGAAGCCCTGCAAAACCGTTGTCTCATCGGTCGTTCAGGCAATTGCTGAAACTCCAAGATCAGCTGCAGCTGTTTTGTCTGCCTTTTGCGCTCAAAGACCTGAAGTCTTATGTTGTAACGCATGTTGCACATCATTCCGACGCAGAAGCAGCACGTTGCAAGCACGTAGTAGGGTGAAATCAAGGCATACGGTTTTAGGGTTAGGCCAAAGGGCCAAAGGCTTTCGTCGAAGACGGTCTCATACCACACCTACCAGTACCAAGCCTAGACTTGCCCTGAGAGTCTTCGCAGTTGGCTCTCTTTGTCAGTCCGGGCCGGCTGACGCGACATGGAGGGCCCAGCGCTCGACAGTTGAGGGTCGAGCTCGCTCCTGGAAGTTAAGCACAAATTATACGACGCTGATTCCTAAGTCGGGTAGTGCTGAGGCTGGGTATACAAACTGCACTGCTTACAAGACTGTGTGCCTAAATCCAGAACAGACTGAGGCCTTGTGGAGCTTTCTGGGCCTCACTTGCTTTGGACTTTGAGGTTGGCATCATGCCTGGACAGACGAGCTTCCTGAAAGGCAGGGCCTGCAATTCCAGCGTTGATCCCTAGAGTTTGGGCTTTCTGTTGCGACATCGGTCTGGCTTCAAGAGAGTGCTTGCGATTTCTATTCAAAAATCTGGCTCCGGAATGCTGAGGCTCTGAACCCCAAAAATCTGTAAACCTTGCATCACAGACCGCAGGTGCAGGGGGCAGCAAGTCCTCCAGGCGACCGTGATGTTTTGCCTTTTTGGGAGAAGCAACGCCTTCTTTGCGTTGTCGGACATAGGGCTCGTGGTTTCGAGTCTGTTTTTTTTTTTTTTTGCAGGGGGGGGGGGGGG